GGCTGACTGTTCTTGTATCTTAAAGATACACAAAGAAAGGCAGGCCCTGCCACACAGCTGCTAAGCGCTTAGGGGCTGACCGAAAGGCCGGTGGTTTGTGAGAGCTGGTGAGCTACTTCTGTAGAGATGGCGGCTTCAAAAGGCCCCAGGGCAGCGCTGCCGTCCACAGTGTCCCTGTGAGCCGTGGTGACTCTTGTCTGACAGGGAAGAAAAGTGGGGGATAACGGAGACTGGGGGAGGGCTAGTGATGGGCAAGAGTCACAGTGGGACGTGCAGGGCTCCAGGGGTGCGTACGGGGAACATGGGGGTGTGGGGCTGGACGAGCAGGGCCCCAGGTGTGCATACAGGGGCTGTGGGCATGCAGAGCCAGGTGAGCAGGACCTCAGGTGTGCGTGCAGGGGCTGTGGGCATGCAGAGCCAGGTGAGCAGGGCCCCAGATGTTTGTGCTGGGGCCATGGGCATGCGGGGCCAGTGAGCAGGGAGCAGGGCCCCAGGTGTGCATATAGGACCGGGTGAGCAGAGTCCCAGGTGTGTGTATGGGGCTGGGTGAGCAGGCCCCATGTGTGCGTACAGAGGCTGTGGGTATGCAGGGCCAGGTGAGCAGGGCCCCAGGTGTTGGTGCTGGGGCCATGGGCATGTGGAGCTGGGTAAACAGGGCCCCCAAGTATGCATACGGGGGCCATAGGCATGCGGGGCCAGTGAGCAAGGCCCCGGGTGTGCGTACAGGACCGGTGGAGCAGGGTCCCAGGTGTGTGTATGGGGCTGGGTGACCTCAGGTGTGCGTGCAGGGCCAGGTGAGCAGGGTCGCAGGTGTGTGTATGGGGCTGGATGAGCAGACCCCATGTGTGCGTACAGAGGCTGTGGGTATGCAGGGCCAGGTGAGCAGAGTCGCAGGTGTGCCTGTGAGGCCGGCAAGCAGGGTCTCAGGTGTGTGTGCTGTCGTGTAGGGCAGCAGTCCACTAGGGTCCACTCTCTGACATGCAGGTGTGTCTCCAGAAGAGGCTGGGTGTGGCTCACTCATTCAGCCTCATCTGGTGGGGGGCGGCTCCGGGAGGTGTCCTGAGGTGCGGCGTTAGCGGTCATGGGCACCAGTTGAGGGGATAAGTAGCCAAAGCTGCCCCAGAGACCATTCACACATGGACCAGATGACCTGGGAGGGACAGGGTATGGTGGCAAGGAGGAGACACCGATTTGAGTCAGAGTCAGAACTCACTCTGGGGGGGGGGAGGTTAGAGCTAATGGAGAGAGAGCAGGAGGGAAGGGGGCAGCAGGGCCAGAGGGTATTGGGGCTCATCCTGGACCTGCCAGTGTGTAGGAGCCGCTGCTGGCTGCCGGAGTGCGCTGAGCAGATAGCAGCCAGGGTGGGCTTGCGGGGAGACGGGGAGGTGGGGGCCCCAGCATGGAGGGGAAGCTGCTTTGGTCAGCAGCGCAGGGCCCTCCCCCTTGCCCAGGGCTGACCTTGGAGTTGGGGAGCAGCGAGCACTCTGGGTTTGGTGGCCCCTGATGGCCTGCTGCTCTCACAGTCCCTGCAGCCCGAGAAGGAGGCAGCCCAGGCCACTGTTGGGGAAGGCCCCACGGCTGCCGCCCCGCTTTCCAAAAGTGGCCAGAAGACGCGGCCACTGGTCCCTGAGATGTGCTTCACAGCCAGTGGCGAGAACACGGAGCCACTGCCCGCCAGCTCGTACATCGGCGACGATGGGACCAGCCTGCTCGTCGCCTGTGCCAAGTGCTGCCTGCAGGTCCATGCCAGTGAGTGCCGCCCCGGGTGACGGGCGGGGCGTGGGGCATGGACTCAGCGTCACCAGGACAGTGCCAGGCGTGGGCAGGCCACTGGGTGTCCTCCCAGCTATAACTTCCTCCACCCTTCCCACAGTCAGGCTGGGGCTCTTCTGATCGATTCTGTCCTAGACGGACACTGCCCAATGTTCTAGGCCACTTAAGGCCAGGGCAGCCAGGCAGGGCTGGAGTAGGGACAGCACACAGGGTGTCTGGGGAATGTGAGTCTTGGTGGGGGCTGTCATTGTCCCCCGTCCCTTTGGCTCAAGCCTTGCCTGGCTGACCACAGTGAGAAATGGACCAGGAGCGCCCAGAAGGACTGGCCTCCCGAGGCTTCTGAAACTCTGCTCTCTGCTGTCTTTTTCTGCCCAGTGGCAAATGAAGCAGCCTTCTCAGAGCAGAGATCCTTGAGCAAAGTGGGTGGCTGCTTGATGGCTGCTGGACCTTCTGGAATGTTCCGTGAGCTCAGGCGGTGGCAGGAGGAGGTTAACTGCCTGCCAGGGGCCCTGACACTTGCAGCCTCTGTGGTCCATCTGGGCTGGAGTGCGAAACTGGGCCGAGAGGAGATGGAGACTAGTTAGCGGGCGTGCTTCATCTCTGCTGGCGGCCACCCTCCCCCAAGCCCTGCAGCCGCAGAAACGGAAGTCTGCCTCCTTCCCGGAGCTGGTGCGGGGGTGCAGGCAGCCTGCGAGATCGTATCCTCCAGCACGGAGGGCACTTGGAGACATTTAATTTTGCGTGTTCCTGGCCAAGACAGGTGGTCATCCATCTTTTTCTGTTGTCCTCCGCTCTCTGGCGGCCTATGGGCTGATTGTGCCTCCTGTCTGGGAGTCTTTGCTTTGTTTTACAAGGCCTGGGGATGAGGCTTGCTTTCAGGAGAAGGCTGGCATGGCCAGAGGGGAGGGGAGAGCCCAGGGGAGAGGGGAAAGGTCAGAGGAGGTGAGGAGAGCCCAAGTGAATGGGGAGAGGTCAGAGGAGATGAGAGAGGCCAGGGGGCAAGGAGAGATCAGGGAAGAGGGAAGAGAACAGAAGAGATGGGAGAGACCATGGGAGCAGAAAGAGGCTGAAGGGGCAGGAAAGAGACCAGGTGAGAAAGGCGAGGACAGGTGACAGGGGAGAGGCCAGGTAAGTGGGGAAAGGCCAGTGGAGATGGGAGAGACCATGGCAGCAGAGAGACGCTGCGGGGGAGGGAAAAGAACAGGTGGCAGGAGCGGTCAGTGGAGGCGGGAGAGACCAGGTGAGCACCAAGAGCTCTCTGACTGAACTTGGGAGGCTGAAGATCACTTTGGTTTTAGCCACTTGGGTCAATATACATGTCTCCCTGGGGCACCCAGAAGACAGCAGGGAGCCTTGGCCAGCACACCTCCCCTCTTCATGTTGCTCAGAGGAGCCTCCAGGTACTGAGGATGTAATTATGCTTCCTTGAGTGGGACTGGCCTCCATTGCAGGACTTGTTAAAACCCACCTGTGACCAGCCCTTGCCAGCAGGTGCTCCTACTACTCTCAGAGCCTGGTCTGGTGGGGCAGAGATTCCTTCCACCCTCTGCTACTCTCGCACCTTGTCTTGGGCTGGGTTCTCCAGAGGACAGAGAGAGATTCAACTCAAGGAAATGGCTCACACAGTATAGAGGCTGGCAGGTCCCACCCTTCTCCTGAGTCACACATACAGGGGATGAGAAACCCAAAACCAGCAGATCAGATAGCAGACTGCTGGCTCACGTCTCAAGACCTAAAGGCCAGAGAATGAGGAGCTGGATGCAGGATTTAGAGAAAAGGGGCTTTGCCACAAAGTACATATGTGCAGAGCACACCCTCAACATCAGATCACAGAGTGGGAGATGATGAGAATATTGGGAACTCTTCTGTTAAGGACCTCTCTTAGGTGCTAAAGAGCAGTGATATCAATTTAAAGACTAAGGTGCACCTGATCCAAGTGATGGTATTTTCCACTGCTTTATGTTCATCTGGAAGTTGGGCAATGAATAAAGAAGAATGAAGAAATACTGATGCCTTTGAATTGTGATATACGCTAAGAGTATTGGGTATCTCATGGGCTGCCAGAGAAGCAGCAGATCTGTTTTGGAGGATGTAGAATTGAAAGTACAGTTGTAAGGACTAAAAAGAAAGTCAAGCCTTGAGTTTTAATACTGAGAGATGCTGCGAGTAAAAGTCTTGAATGGTCCAGGAAGTGTCAAAAGAAGATGGAGAGAATACATAGAGTCACTGTTCCACGAAGAGTTGGCCAACATTGAGCTATTTCAGGAAATACCATATGAACAAGAGCCAGTGGTTATGAAGGAAGATGGTAAAGTGACAGTGAAGATGTTGGTAAAAAGTATGGCCCCAGAAATGGATGGGATACTGATTGACATCCTTCACAGGACAGCGGCCGCCCTGTATGTGCTCACCAGACCATGCCAGGATATTTGGAGGACAGCTGCCTGGCTGACCAACTGGGAGGGATCTATATTTGTCCCCATTCCCAAGTAGGGTGACCCAACAGAATGTGAAAATTATTGAACAATAACATTAACTTCACGTGCAAGCAAAATATTGCTGAAGATCGTTTTAAAAAAACTGCTGGGATGGTACATAGATAAGGAACTTTACGAAGTTCAAGCAGGATTTAAAAGAGCCCAGGGCACCAGGGATATCAGTGCCAATTTAGATGGATCTTGACTGAAAGCAAAGAATTCCAGAAGAATGTATATTTGTGCTTTACTGACTATGTAAAGGCGTTTGTCTGCGTGTGTCATAACAAGTTATGGCTAACATTGAGAAGAATGGGAATCCCAGAGCGCTTAATTGTGTTCATGCAAAACTTACACCTAGACTAAAAAGCTGTTTGTGTACAGAGCAAGGGAACACTGCGAGGTTAAAACTAGGAAAGGTGTGCGTCAAGGTTGTATCCTTTCTCTATTCCTATTCAATCCTGTATGCTGAGCAAAATTCAAGAAGCTGGACTCTGTGAAGAAGAATGTGGCCTCAAGATTGGAGGAAGATTCATCAATAACCTGCATTATACAGATGACACAACTTTGCTTGCTAAAGCGGAGGAGGACTTGAGAAACACTTGCTGCAGAAGATCAGGCACTGCAGCCTTCAAAATTGATTTCATCTGTCAAGAAAATAAAAATTCTCACCACTGGGCAACGTCATGATAGTTGGAGAAAAGATTGAAACTGTCAATGACTTCATCTTACTTGGATCCACAGTGCACTTGGTACCAACAGTCAGGAGATCAGGAGACTTAATGCCCTGGGAAAGCCTGCAGTCAGTGACTGCTCCAGATGATTGAGGTGTAATGATGTTAGTTTGAGGACTAAGATGGACTTGATTCGGGCCATGGTCTCCTCAGTCACTTGCTGTGCTGCTGAGAGCTGGACATGAATAAGGATGAGAAAGAACCGATGCTTTTGAATGGTGGTGTTGGAGAGGAGTCCTGAGTATCCCATGAACTGCCTGAAGAACAAATATGTGTGTGTCTTGGAGAAGGTGCATCCAGAGTTCTCCGTGGGGCCAAGGATGGCGAAGCTTTGCCTCTCATACTTTGGGCATGTTGCTACGAAAGGCTATTCCTTGGAGAAAGACATGATGCTTGGAAAAGCAGAGAGATGGCAAACGAGAGGAAGACACTCAGCCAGGTGAACTGGCACAGTGACTGGCTGCAGCAACCACTGTGTCAGATTGTGGGGTTGGCATAGGGTAGGACAGGGTTCAGATCTGTTGTTCATAGGCCTGTTATGAGGCTTCCTAAACCCACCAGCACCTAACAACAACTCCTTAGAGACAAGGTGGTGAAACTGTCTAGATGCTTTGATTCCTGACATGTGGTCAGGAGGTATCAGTCCTTGGAAGAAGACAGCAAGAGAGGGTCAGTGACTAAGAGGAAGACCAAATCTGTGCATCGACGCAGTGACTTCACTGGTGGGTCTGAGGATGGCAGAGGTGGTGAGGGTGGCACAGGGTAAGGTGAGGTTCAGATCTGTTGTTCGCGGGATCACTGTGAGTCACAGGTTGGTGACACCTCACAACAACAGTTCACTGGGCTCGTCGCGTCTCCCGGCGAGAGCATCCCTCCTTTTAGAATGAAGACCTCTAGACCTTCAGAGCATGGAGTTTCAGGAACAGGAAGTAGAAGTTTCACGAGTGGTCACAAGAGGCAACTGATGCCACGTCCGTTTCCACTCCTTGGTTCCCGGGCCTGTGATCCTTGGCTATGGAAGAAACAGCTCCATGTACTGGAGGGTAGTTTGGAGCGTATATAGCTTCCTGGAGCACATTGCCCAAACCCTGCCACGTGTTGCCACTCAGCGGTCTTTGGAAGGCCGTCTTATCATTCTATCAAAGGAGCTTCGTCAGGACCATGGGAAACGGTGATGCCAGTGAATTCCAGGAACGCGGGCTCATGGCAGCGCTTAATTTCCTGTGCAGTGACTCTGACTTCTTTAATCTGAGGCGTGGGTCACCGAGATGATGGATAAGGCATTCTCTGGGGCCACGGACCAGCAGTCATGGCAGGGAAGGCAGAACAAGTGTCTGTGCAGTGATATCACCATGCTACTCTCTCCTGGATGAAAGTGGTCCAGTGTAATCAACCTGCCAAGGAGTTCCAAGGCTGGTCTCCCCGAGGCGTGGTGCTATATGGAAGGCTCCATTTTGGTCTCTGTTGCTGGAGAACTGAATACTTAGCAGTGGCCAGGTCAGCCTTAGTGAGCAGAAGTCCACATTATTGAGCTTCCAGCCCTAGCTCCATGGCCACAAACCATGTTTGTTCATGAGCCAGTGACAGGAATGGCTGGGCAGGGAGCGTGGTTGTTCGCCACAGGATGTATATACCGTGCCCTTGACATTTGAAGCTCTCCTCTGCCAAAGTCAGCCTTGAGCATCCACATGAGACACTTGTTTGGCCCATTCAGGATGTCTCTCCACATAGCCTCCTTATCTCTAGTTTTCCAGTCATGTTCTTTCCAAGCCTTGGACCGACCATAGCCCGTGTTCTGTATGCACTCACATATCTGCCCAGTTCTCCTTCCAGGCCAAGTAAAAACCAGATGCTCTGCTTCAGGTTGTGCCTTCTGGGAGGCCTCCTCGCCCCCACTCTCCTTTAGTGTGGTCCCACCGTGCAAGGACCATGTCCTTCCGGGTGGGAGCCTGCATATCGTGCAGAACCATCCGTAAACCAAAGTTTGTCCTTCCTCAGTCCCTGACCATAAGGACCACCCGTCAGCGACACCATAATTGGCAGCTGCAGGAGGGATGGAATTGTGATAGGCGTGGTCACCTGGGGCATTTTAGCCCCTTCATCCCAGAACTTGCTTGTACCTTCAGGTCTTGCTCAATCCCCATGCCCTATACACCCCTTCCATTAATGAGAGAGGGTCCAGTTCATGACGGGCAGCCCAGGCCTCTTGGTGACCTGGTAGCTCGTGCTTAGGCAGTGTGTCTCTACTAAGGCCTGGTAGCAGGCTAGAACCAGCTTGCTGCTTAAAAGAACAGAGTGGCTCTCTGCAGAGGATGCAGGCCTTGGCTTGCAAAATCCCAAGACTTGTGCTATGACCTGCTGAAGACCCCACGCGGCGTCTCTGTCCTCCAGTGCTGCTTCAGGCACCCCTGGACCAGCTGCATCCCATGATGCCAGTGGAAGAGCTGTTTGCCCAGCAGGTGGGTCCTGTCGCGGGACCCTCTCTGTCCGGGCTCCACTGGCAGCCTGTCTAGTCAGCTAAGGGTGTAGTTGTTAGACGCTGTTGAGTTGACTTTGACTCACGGTGACCCGCTGTCCAGCAGGTCCGCATCCAGTCCTGCACCGTCCCCACAGTCTCTGTGCGCCTGCGCCCATTGGCATTGTGCCGGCTCAGCCCCTTGAGGCTCTTCCTCTCCTCCACCCTCTGCCTTTTCAGGCAAGCCTGGAGAAGCACATTTAAAGGAGGGGTGAGTTACCTCTGAAGTTCGGAGAGGTCCACTAGGTGTTGTACTGCCTTTTCCGTTGTCTGCAGGACCAGAGACAGTATAATATCCTTCACTTACGGGATGGGATGTCTCACCCTACCCTATGCCTTGGGGCCCTTGGAAATTTTCCACCCTCTCGCATGCAAATAAATACCTTACCACCAAGTCTAGAGTCCTTGATGGCTCTCCCTCACTGGGGAGCATAATGTCCTCATAGTCTGACCACTAGAACATCTCGTGGATGGGAAAGGTGGTCAGGCTCCCGGCACCAGGCTGCGGAGTGTCTGTGCCGCGGGCAGAGCAGTGTAGGATTGCTGACCTCGTCAGCTGAAGGCAAACTGCTTTTGATGATCTTTCAAGACCAGCATGGAGAAAAGGCATCGGCCAATAGCTGCATACCAAGTAGAAGATGTATCAGTTTGCTCAAGTGAAATCATAGCTGGAACACTGGCTGCAATTTAAGTTCTCACCTGGAAACATTTAGGATAATCCACTGTCATTCTTCAGGGAGCTCTGGTGGCCTAGTGGTGAGAAGCTGCGCTGCAGTCACAAAGGCATGCAGCTCGAATCCACCCGCCACTCCACAGGAGAAGGATGGGCAGTTCCTCTCATGCAGTTACCTGCGTCTGAAAACCCGCTGGAGGGTCAGCTGTGGGTCAGTTCTGACTTGATGGTACACAGCAGCTGTCATTCGTCATGACCCGTCCACGTTGGGCATGGATCCAGTTAACCCACTGACTCGCTGTCACGTTAGTACCAAGTCACAGCCGATCCTCCGTCATGCCTTCAGGACTGTAGCCAGATGGGAGGATGTTTCCATCTGTGCCCAGGGAGTTGCTGGTGGAACTGTGTCACCCGAGAGGCCCAGCCTCTCCCTACCGACTAGGCAGGTCAGATGGCCTCTGTTGGGATGACCGCCCTGCATTCTTTGGTTTGATGGTGGCACAGTTTTGGTGTTTCCTCCAGAGTGTGGTCTTGAACTTGGTTCTTTTTGCTCCTAGGCAGTGGCGGTTGTAACAGAGTTGTCCTGCCACCACAGCCGTAATCCACACCCCAGGGGCCCGTGGGGTTCAGCCGGGTGCTGAGTGTGTCTGTTCCATTTACGCATTCTGTAACTGGGGAAATCATGACAGGATGGCATGGGGGTGCCCCTGGGCCTGCTGTGTGCCCTCCATATGCTCCCATTCTGACTGTTTTGGGTCCCCTGGAGTTAAAGTCAGTTCAGAGCCAGTGCCCAATAATCCTTGGCAATTCTAATTCTTTCCTTTCCCCCAGTGAACAGTCACTTTCTTAATAGGCCGCAAATCCCTTTCAGGAAGGCTGGGCAAAAAGATAATAAATTGTTGGCAGTGGAGTGGGGTCCTCCTGTAAGGGGTCCCAGCCTCCTTTCCTTCAAGGGGCTGTGGGGCTGCAAACCAGCTTGAGTCAGAAATGATTGAAGGGCTGTGCTCTGCACCCCGGTGTTCCCTGTTCACCCCGCTGTTCACCTCAAACTATTCTGCTTGTGCAGATCAAGTAAATATTTAGACGATTCCCTTATGTTTCCCTCCTGGAGACACTGACAGAGGAGCCAGCACCGTGTGTCTAGAACCTTCACGGCAGGCATGTCCACCCCGTCACTCTGATTAAGGTCGGCTACCATGGGGCCCTCCCCACATGCCATGTCCACCTCGTCACTCTGATTAAGGACGGCTGCTGTGTCCCCCATTTCCCCGGCCAGCCAGCCCTGTTGTATTAAAGTGTCTTCATTCAATTAGGGCAGTTCCCACTGTCAGATGGGGCCCATGTGGACATGGGGTTCACAGCCGTCTCCAGACATCCGGGGGCTTCCTTGGCGGTGCTGCCCTCCCTGCTCTGTGCTCAGTGCTCCACATGTAGGTCCCACGGTCCTCCTCTCGGACACCCTGCCTGTGTCCCGAAGCCTTTGGGCTCCTCCCCCTACAGTTTGCCGAGGGAGGCTGGCATAGCGGGGGACACCAGTTAGCCCACACCTCAGTGAACACTCTGCAGACCCTCCGTCCTCTCCTGCCCTCTCCAGCCGAGACAGTGAGGGAAGCATCTGCTGAGTGGGTCATGTTGGCAGTCGATCCGTTTCAGCCAGGACTGCTCCAGCGCTGTTCCTCTTACCAACCTCCCAGACCCGGTCCCCACACACGCTCCAGCGTTCTGTTTGCGCACGTTAGAAAAGTCGAGCGCTTCTTTTGGAGGGCGGCATACCTTCTCATGGATCAACTCTTGGGGCTCGCTGGAACTTCAATCAGACGAGAGTGGTGGGGGCCGTTCCTGAAACATCCAGCAGGGGCACCCCGGGACCAATGACTGCTCCACGCAGGCTTCCGGCGGGGGGGGGAGGGCAGGGGACAGTGGCTTCCTGGGGAGGGTGACTTGGCGGCAGAGCTGGAGTCACAGGGCTGGTTTCCTGGCAGAGGTGACTCAGTGGAGTTTAGGGCTTCAGTGTCTCCAAGTGCCTGGCGTCTGCCTGTGTACCCACGTGTTGAGTCTCAGTCAGTGCTGCTGCTTCCTGCTTGGGGCCTGGCGTTCATGTTCGCCAGCACTCAAGGCCCCTCTCGAGTGAGACTGTGGCCTTGGTGTCTGTCACTGTCGGCCCTGCCAGGGAACTGTGTCCAATGCTGGGCTGTGACTGGGATGCACTCATCTCTCTCACCATTGTTTGCTAAAAGCAGGACCAACCTACCCGCTTTCCTTTCCTTCTGCTGACAGAGCCACAGAAAAGCTCCAGGTGGGCAGCACCTGGTGCATGGCTGTCACAGACACGTCCCCCAGCCAGCCCCCCACCACATCGGCCTCACACGGGACCTGCCGTCGGGTTTCCAAGCCTGCAGGTCTCCACAGGAGGAGGGGCATCAGCTCTTGTTATTCCCTGCCCTAGGTTTGAACTTCAGACCTTTCCGTTAGCTGTCCTCCACCTAATGCTTGGTGGTAAGGAGTTGCACTGCCAACCCAAAGGCAGGCGGTTCGAATCTACTCTGCTGGAGAAATATGAGCGGTGTCCTCCTGTGTGGTTTCTAGCCTCTGAGAAGGTCTAGGGCGGGAGGAGAGGAGTTGGTTCCAACTTGACTGTACGTGACAACGAGCAAAACACACACACACACACACGGGGTTCACGTGTATGTATCTATAGAGGGGCAGAGATAGTTTTACTTCAAGAACGTTGCTCATTCAGTGTGGAAGCTGGCGTGTCCCAAATCCAAGGGCGAGGCATCTGATTGGGGGGGGCATCTCCTGTCTTACATGGGCATTGGGGCTCATGGCTCCACAACTGGCAGGTCAGAGAGCAAAGGGTAGGCTGCTGGTTGGTGGGCCTGTGACAGCAGGCAGTGCCAGGGCCATAGATGAGAGGGCTTATGTCTGAAGACGCGGAGCTGACGGCAGTGGTTCAGAGGTGGCACTGGGAGGCAGCAAGGTGCAGGATGTCCACATGGTGTGGAGCAGGCCCTGCCCCAGGGAGGTTCCTTGGACACAGGGCATGTGGTAGTGTAGACCATGTCCCCAAGAACCGTGGTGGACCTGCTTAACATCAGCCGTCTCAGCCGCACGCTCCAGCCTGTGCTCATGGAGTACGACCTGGGCAAGGCCTGGCTCTCCGACCCCAGGGTGATGAGGTCTGGACTCCAGCGTGGACCCAGGGTCAGCACCCTGTCCCCACCTCCCTCGGAGCCTGGCCCGGGTCTTCCTTAGCTCAGAGCTGAGTGTCCGGCACATGGTCCTTCTGGCTCAGCTGAAGGGCGAGCCTCCTCCCTGCGCATTGAGATGCTGTGGAGGTCGGCAGATCCGTCTGGCAGGGCCCCCCACATCTTCCACATGCTGCCCCTGCCTCAGCGGGTCCTCCCCCCGGCGCCCCAAGGGAGTGTGTGCCGTGCAGCTTCTCAGCGCCCCATCTTTCAGGTTGTTACGGCATCCGTCCTGAGCTGGTCAGCGAGGGCTGGACGTGTTCCCGGTGCACGGCCCACGCCTGGACTGCGGTAAGCCGGGCCGTGCGGGGAGCGGAGCCCCAGCCGTGGGGGCCGGGAGTCTGTGGGGTGGGCAGGCGGGACAGCAAGAGCAGGGTCCTGCCTCCCTCACCGTGCCCCCGTCTGGTCCTACAGGAGTGCTGTCTGTGCAACCTCCGGGGCGGAGCGCTGCAGATGACCACGGACAGGAGGTGGGCTGTCAGAACCTCCCAAGGCCCTGCTCTTCCTGGGGCCCTAGCTCTGAGCTCCCTGCTCCTGGGTGGTGGCGAGGGACAGGCACAGTGCCACAGGGCTGGTCAGTTGTCCTTGCAGGGCAGCTGTCCAGTGTACGGGAGGTGGCTGGGGACCATCTGGGCTGAGGACAGACCCCCTAAGCACAGACTTGCTGGTTAATCCAATGATGGCAGCGTGGGGGAGGCGGGTAGCGCACCCCCAGACTTTGCACGTGCCCCGCCCTCAATCCCACCCTGCAGCTGGCCTGGCCCCCTGCTTTGCGGGGTGCTGGCAGGCCCCTCGCGTGTCAGGAGGAGGGGCCGCACCTCCAGTTACTCCCCCGCACCTGGTCCCGCAGGTGGATCCATGTGATCTGCGCCATCGCCGTCCCCGAGGTCCACTTCCTGAACGTGATGGAGCGCCACCCGGTGGACATCAGCGGCATCCCCGAGCAGCGGTGGAAGCTGGTGAGTCGCGTGGCTCCGGCGATCGGCCCCCAGGCTCTCGTTCTGCAGCCTTCCGGAGGGTCCGTGACGGGCCCGGGGTCCTGCTCCCGTGGGGGCTGCCCCCGTGGGGGCCTCTGCGTGATCTGAGCGGTGGGGCGAGGAAGCAGGCAGGCTGAGTGTTTATTGTGTACACAGCGAGGAGGTGTGAGGGTGGTCGTGGAAAGCAGGCCCCGCCAGTGACCCCCTCCAGAGTTGTCCATGCTTTGTGGCAGAGAGGCCCCAGGCCCCCTTTGTATGAGAGGTAGTGGGCACGCTCCCGGCTCTGTCCCCTCTGTCCCAGTCAGCAGTGCAGCGTGGTGCACGGTCACTGTGGCTGTGTGGACGCCCTCATGTCGTGGACTGTGCCTTTACTCGGTCCTGCAGCCTCAGTCTCCCCGCCTGTGCAATGAGGTGGCCGTGGTCCCTGCGTCCCTCCTACCAGTTGTCACCATCTGTCCTATGACCTCTTTGTCAGGGCTCTGGCCACCTGCCCTGGTGACATTGTGTTGGAAGGGCCCTGTGCCTCCGGGACCCTGGGACTAGCTGGCTTTACTGGCAGGTGCTAGCATTCAGAGGACCTGGTTCCCCTTGGGACCTCTGGCACCTCCTGGCCGAGGTGTGTGCTTGCAGGTGGGACAGGAGGACAGGGCTGGGGAGAGGAGGAGCCTGGGGCCCGTGGGGTGGGACCCTGCGTGAGTGCCAGGAGCCGTCTTGGGGACATCATGAGCCATGTCCTTATCCTCCAGCCATGTCACCTCTCCTGGAGCTAAGAGGCCTGGGGGCAAGGCACAGTGGGGAAGGAGCTGTGCTCACAGCAGAGCACCAAGGCCTCTAGCTGGGGGTGCACACAGGCCTGAGGCTGGGGCCAAGGTCTGCGCCCAGGGCCCATGGGTGAAGGGCCATCAGTACTGGGCCAGGTAGGCAGGGAAAGCCCGGTGGCCAAGCCTGCAGGTGAGTCCTGCAGGTAGTGAGAGAGTCATTATTCAGGTGGAGAGACAGGGTGCCCCGTCCCCCCCAACACACCTTACAGATTGTCTGACATCTGCACGCTGCCTCTTCGTTAGTGGCGCTTGTAATGATGAATTAAAATCCTTTTTACATGAGGCCTGCTTGTGCTGCCTAATGGAGCCGCACAGAGAGGTGGGCACTTAACTCCTGCCTGCCCGGAACGCTAGCTCTCCGAGGCTCGGGGCCCAGTGCTTGGGAGTGTGTGTCCGGTGATCCACTCGGCATCCTGGTGGCTCAGACCTCAGTGCTGGTCAGCCTGAACCAGGTTGGCCACTGATGGAATGGTGGCAGCTGGCAGGAGATTGCTGGAAGCTTCTGGAAGAATGACAGGGCTGGAGGGGGTGGCTAAAGTGTGCTGCTGGCCCGCGAGCCTGGAGGAGACAGGTGGAGAGGCTGTCCCATCCTGGGTGGTCCTGCTGCAGCCTTGTGTCCAGGCCTGTGGGGATCACAAAGGTGCTGTGTGGTGACAGTGGTCAAAGCCAGCAGGCCGTGGACCTACGTTGTTCTGGACCACGCTCTCCGCAGACATCACATACTCCAGCCTTGTAGGTGCCCTGAAGGCCAAGGCCGTGGAGGTCAGCTCAGCGTGGCCTGTGAGGCCCAAGACAGAAGGACCCAGTATGAGTGACCATGAGGGCCCAGGAGCTCACGGACAGACATAGACCAGCAGTGTGCAGACCTCCCGTCCACGGTGTAGGGACTTGCTGTGGGCCCTGGCTATGTGGGTGAGGCTGTGAGTGATGGCTGGCCCCATGCTGGACACTGACCCTGACAGGCCCTGTGGGGGGACCCACACACACTCTCCCTGCCTCGGACACCTGGAATGGGAGCCGCCAGGTCTTGGACGACAGTGACGAGACAAGGGACAGTTCAGGGTGGTCACTCTCACCTGGGCCGGTGGGGTTTCTCCTGGGCCTTCAGAATTTTGTGGAAGCTTCTAGATGTCTCCATCTCCTGCATTCTCTGCGGGGTTGCCTTCCCCACTGTGCCCATTCTCAGACACTTCTTGTCACAGGAGTGAGGGACACGGCCACCTCCTGCCCCCGGCCCGGCCAGCACGGGGAGCCTGGGTGCTGTGGATTCAGCTGCCTGCCCAGCCCTGCCCAGCTGATGTTGTCCATCAGTGCTGTCCCTGCTGGCGGCCGAGAATTAGCTATTGACAGTTTAATAATGAGCCGCCGGCCTTCGATCGGCGTCCAGTGCTGTGCTCCTGCGGCGCCCTTGGCCGTGATGCGTATCTGCCTTTTGAACACGGTTTATGGAGCGATAACGGCCGCTTATTAAATGCTCAGGATGATGGGCCGGCAGCTGCAGCCAGCAGGGGGTGCAGGGGGGAGGCAGGGCGCACTGGGCAGGGCGGGGCCTGGCGGGGTCTGCTCTGCTCCAAGCGAGTGCTCCACAGAGCCTTTTGGCTTTGAGATAAAAAGTGCCCTGAAGTCACCTTCTTGATCATTTTAAAGTCTACAAGTGGCTGTTAGTAGATTCATCGCTGTACACCCCTAACCCTAGTTCCGGAATGTTCTCATCACCCCAGAAAGCAGCCCCAGCCACCAGCAGTTGCCCTCCTAGTGATGAGAAGTGGCTGTGGGGTCTCATGGGCCAAAATCTCAGAGTGGGGGCACATCCCCAGCACTTCCCGCCCTGGCCCTTCAGGCGTGAGTTCGGCCTACCCAGCTTTCAGTTAACAACTTGTGCGGAGCCGCGTGCCAACAAGGCGCCTTCCCCAGTCCTGAGGACCCAACCCATTGTCTTCAAGTTTATTCACTGCTACAGATCGGGAGCTCAGGGCGCCTAGTGGTAAGAAGCAGCACTGCAATCCCAAAGGCCTGCGGTTCAAATCCACCAGCTGCTCCACAGGCGAAGGATGGGCAATCAACACCCACGTGATTTACTGCCTCTGAAAACCCAGTGGAGGGTCAGCTGTGGGGTGCTTCCACCTTGACGGCAGACAGCTGTCACCACCATCCTGTATGTGAGCTCTGGTGACTTCTTGTTGTCGTGTGTCACCAAGTGAACTGTGACGCAGCAACCCTGCAAACACAGGCTCTGACCCCTCCCCTGTCCTCAGCCGGCCTCACCATCTCAGACACACCTGACCCCAGTTACACAGTCACTGTGCCAACCCATCTCATCCGGGTCTTCCTCTCCTGCACTGACCCTCCACGCTTCCAAGCATGACGTCCTTTTCCAAGGACTGGCCCCTCCTGTTGACATGCCCAACGCATATGAGATGGAGCCTCAAAATCCTTGCCTTCAAGGAGCAAATGGGTTTCACCCTCTCCATGACAGACCTGTTTGTTCTCTTGGCGGTCCGTGTTCAGTACTCTTCTCCAGCAACACAGCTCAAAGGCATCAGTTCTGTTGTCTTTGTTCATTGTGCAGCTCTCTCTCATGTACAGATCAAGCACTTGAGAAGACTGGATCAGGCGTACCTAAACTGCCATCATTGCCCTTTAGCTCTGGAGAGGACCCTGACGGCGGATTTTCCCCAATTTAACTTGTCTTTTGATTTGCTGACTGCTGCTGCCAAGAATGTTGATTGTGGATCCCAGCAAGCTGAAGTCGTTAACACCCTCAATTCTTTCCCCATCTATCATGATAACTGCCTGTCGGCCTGGTGGTAATGATCTTTGTTGTCCGGATGTAGAGATGCAATCCGTATTGAAGGCTGCGGTCGTTGACCTGCAACAAACACTTAAGTCCTCCTCAGTTTCATAAAGGTTCAGCCTCCCGGACGATCCGTTTCGCACACAGATTGAATCGCTCTGGCAGTGCACTGGTATGTGGTCTGAATCCAACAACTCCTTGGCAGGAAAAGGGTGGACAGTCTCTCCTCATGTGACTTCCAGCCTCTGGAAACCTGCTGGAGGTCCGGCTATGGGTTCTAGTTCAAGGGTACATGACGACAGCACTGCCCTGTATTCAAGTTCTGGGGGGATCATCCCCAGGGAATGAACTGCTAACTCAAAGGTTTGAACCCCCCGGAGCTTCGAATCCACCAGCAGTTCCCGAGGGAGAAAGGTGACCAGTCGCCTGTTGTGTGACTTCCAGCCTGCAGATCCCACTGAAGGGTCACCTGTGCGTGTGCTCAGCCTTGACAGCAGTGAGCACATTACCCCCCTACAGTCTGCACTCTGTGTGCTGTCTGCACACTCTGTGTCTGTCCCCAAACTGTCACATCCTTGTCACGCGCGAGGCGGGTCGGGGTGAAACGCTCACCTCTCCGCTCTCAGCGGAGCTAGTCCACCACTGCGTGCCCAGGGCCCCACTTCCTGGGTCTGGGGCAGCTCATGGGTGGCGGAGGGGTGGGCCGCGGTGAGAGTGTCCATGGGGGTGCTCCGTCCAAAGGGAGGGCTTGACTGTGGAGGGGTGTGCCCTGTGGGTGTTCTGTGTGGGGTGAGGAGTGGACTGCAGTTTCTGGTGGGGGTGTCCTGCGGGTTGCTCCAGCCAGAGTGAGGGATGGACGGTGGTGGGGTGCCATCTGTGCGTGTGAGAGACTGGCTCTGGTGGGGGTGTCCCGCAGGAGTGCTCCGTCCGAGGTGGGGTGTCCCGTGGGAGCGCTCCGTCCGAGGTGGGGGTGTCCCATGGGGTGCTTCACCCGAGGTCGGGGTGTCCCGTGGGGTGCGCCATCCGAGGTGGGGGTGTCCCGTGGGGTGCTCCGTCCGAGGTGGGGGTGTCCCGTGGGGGTGCTCCGTCCGATGTGGGGTGTCCTGTGGGGCGCTCTGTCCGAGGTGGTGGTGTCCCGTGGGGCGCTCCGTCCGAGGTGGGGGTGTCCTGTGGGGGTGCTCCGTCCGATGTGGGGGTGTCCC